TCAGTGCATGTCAGATTTTGCTGGTTACTGAATATTTTATTGTGCATCACCTTTTCTTTGTTATTACATATTTTGCCTAAATAGTTAATGTGCATCAGTGTTGTGTAGAATTTTTTGGAATGTCTATGTTTTGGTTTTGAAGTTTGGGTTGATGTTTGCTTGCGGAAGTTTCAGGCCCTTTACTGAAAATTTTGTACTATAAGGTGAAAGCTGAGAGCTAGTTGGTACTATTCTTGATACCTACTGCTCACAACATGCTCCTTTGTATTTTATTACTAGCCCTCTTATCACACAACACTTTACTGTATATTTTCCTTTAACATCGCCACTTCCTTTGTAGAGGTGGGAGCTGGGGCCACGTAAAGCTGATCGGCCTTTTTCCTCAGCCTCCCTTATATTTGTTCAATGAAGAAATAAATTGCAGGGCACATCTTTGCTTGAGCAGTAAATAGGCAAATGCAAGTGGAAGCCTGCCAGTTATATTAGGGGCATACAGCACCGCTTGTGCAGATGCAGCACCATGCTTGTAAATGGGTTCTTTCCACATTTTTTACGCAGTGTTCAGCTCTATTTCAAGTTCGACTGGAGCCAAAATGCCCCTACAGTAAATAAATATTTCCAAAAATCTTTTGCATACTTCACTGTATCCTGATCTTGACGTTTGAAGTAGCCAAGCTGGACGAAAATGTGCACAAATAAACATCAATGCAAAAAAAAAAAAAAAAGCAGCAGACAAAATGCTCACCTGTTGGTTATTTTTCTGCAGAGAAGAAAGAACAGTACTCCAGAGATGAGCTGAAAGAAAGGTTTACATACCAACCAGTGAGCATGCCTTGTATTATTGTCCCCTGTTGAATTATTTTAACTTTTGAACTAAAACATGCTGGGAAAAAAATATATTCTTAAGAACTTGTGACACCCTCTTGATATTTCTGAAGCTTTTGGTCCCAGTCAAACAGAGTGAGGAGCATGCACAGGGGATGATCTTGATTCAAACTCTGGTGAAACATCCAAACTGAAACGTTTTCACTGCAGCCAGCAGGAGCACCTGGGAAAGTGACTGCAATAGAACTTGCATTCCTTGTGCCATGTATTCCAACCTTTCTGGTCATTGAAAGCTGCAGAACTCGTAAGATGTTGGCATGCCTGTGGCATGCCAACATCTCACGGTATAAACATGCCCCCAAAACACCCTAACACCCTGAAAGGTGGAGTCTGACGCACCCCCAGAATTTCCTACACAAGTACACCTCTTCCCCCACATTGCGCTAGTTTCCCAGGAATTTGCAACCCCGACCAGAGTGAAAAATAGCTGGATGCATACATGGCCAGAGCCCGAATTATCTTTTCAACATGTGCCTGACCTAAACCGACCCAAACCAAACAATGTTCCTTTTACCCCCTATCTTCGTTTCACATACAGTCAAACCCACTTATAACGATCCCACATATAACGACCTATCGGTTATAACGACCAACTTTCAGAAAATATACGAATTCAAGGCCATACCCATTAAAATTGGTCCAGATAAAACGACCGTTTTTCAAAGCATCATACTGTTACAACGAACACAAAGTCCGCTTTCAAAAAAAAAAAAAAAGAAAAAAAAAAAAGGGAAGAGATCCCAGGCGCGGCGGTCCGCGAGACGCTCAAGGTCATTTTCATAGCATCGCGGCGGGGAAAAACAAAACTACAAAAGCAAAAACGTCCTCCTGGGTCTCGTAGTCTGCTCATTGTGCGTGCGCGGGAAGGAGAAGAGGACGAGGGTCAACTCTCCTCACGACTCTCCTGCCGTGCTGCGTTCGTTTGTTTGCGTTCGTTCAATGGGTTCAATGCAAACTGTGTGCAGCTCAAGAAGAGCTGAATGCTCGGTACAAGTTGGCTAGCCCCATCGCCATCGTGAGTTTTTTACGTTCACCATTTTGGTATTATGCACGTTCTCTCGCGCCTACGGACTCGTGTCTGTCGTTTTAAGATAGGGGTAAAAAAAAAAAAGAATCCACCAAGAGGCTTTAAAGGGCATCACGCTGGCGGAAAAAGATGACAACGGAGCAGCACTGCGTGGCTCGCAATCCCAGTCACCCGACGAGATCGCAAAGTGTTGTTTGAAAGACGAACCTGCCAGAGGCGACGGCCGCGCACTCGTACATGCGCAGGAAGCGCGGCACTTAAAACGCTTTAGACCAAAGCAAGTATTCATTATCTCTGTGGACAGCGAAGAACCATCGTCGGGCTAGTGCTCGGCATTTATTTTTGTGGTGGAGTGCGATTCATAAAATTTGTTCTATGAGGCATGTGGTCAATCTTCATTATTTTACAAGCCCGGTAGAATCGGCAGCAATTTACTTTTTATTTATCTGAAAGCTAAATCTGCAATCGCGTTAGAATTGGGGGCCCGTTAGAATCGTGCAAACTGTTTCTTTAAATAAAGAGCTGGCAGAGTGAAACTACCAAAACTAGCTTCATTTTCCTTATTTATAATGTTTTAAAGGGAACTCCAGATATAACGAACTACTGATAAAACGACCACTTTTCGCGGAACTATCACGTTCGTTATAAGTGGGTTTGACTGTAGTACAATGGCAACTTTGTAAACAAATTGTTCACAAAGCCGTCATTAATTTGCACTCAGAAACAGTGTTCCTAAGATCATCTGGATGGTGGGGCTTTGCTTGATGACAAAAAATTCACTGCTGCTTCAAGAAAAATATAAAATCATCTAGCCACAAAGAAGCTGTCGGAGAGTGAGAACCATTTCACCCATGGCATTGCCAGTTTGCTGGGAGCCAGCAGCAAAGGCAGTGGGGTATTTGGCTTCACTATGGACTGCGCAAATATGTTGTATGGTAAGAAAGTTAGGCCGACGTACCGAGTGATATTTTTTTAACCGAAACAGATTTAAAAAAAAAAAAAGGGTCTCACTGTTACGTGGACATCCTGGTGATGTCCACGTGACGCAAGCCAAGACGTGTTGCCACGTCATGACTTTCGTCAGTTTTAGTTTCTACTTTGTTCGACCGAAAGCCGACGTTTCGGTGGGAGCTACGTGCTGGCTGGACCATTCAACTGCTTCCCTTCATCGCCCGACCCCGCTCTTTGCACGTAAGTGTGGGCAGAACCGGAACCACGTGGGGAGAGATAAGCGTATGACTGGTCCGACGAGCACGTGGTATCCACGGCACTTTTGGTACTTGAAGTTCAAGGGTCAGAGAGTGAAGTGTAGTGTCAAGAAGGGGGAGGTGGGGAAGAACGGTGGTGCGGCTTCTGCGTTTCTTTGTGCGATTACTAACTGGCCGCTAGACTAATATTTTGTTATCCTAAATGGCGACGTAAAAGGAGGGCTTCTTTCCCCCTTTCGTCTTGCGGAAAAACGGCGAGGAGGAAATTGAGGGGGGTGGTGAGTCGTCAAGCACTAACCAACCACTCCTCTTTAATGCAAATACTCCTTGGGGCCCGAAGAGTATTTGTAAATAAACAAAGTTGGATGGCATATGCTATGGCTATGGTGTTGTAGGCAGGTGGTTTGTCGGCGATTACGTAACTCCCCTTGCATTTTGCTTCAAAAGACGGGAAGTTCACTTTGCTTATGGTCTGTTAGAGGTTAAATTAAGAACAACAAAACAAGCTCCTCCCACAAAGCCCTCCACTCGTTCCACTTTAGCAGAGTGAATGCTGGAGAGGAGGCAAGCAGAGAGGAGGAAACCACCAATCGTGGTAAGCAGAAAGCTTCGGGGGAGGGGCGCGACCCGTTATTCTTACCCCGCAACACACTACTATACAGTCGCTTAAATTTCTCCTTATTTCCGGCCAACGCACTTTTGTTTCATCAGAATATCCGAAAAGCACGTTGCAGCCAGTCCTTAAAAAATTGTATGGTGAGTGCATAATTTTTTTTTTTAATGCACTGTCGTAATATTCCGACTGCTCCTAATAAATGCACACAAAACACGCCATGGTTCGAACGCCGAACGCCAGAGCTTGCGCGAGGAGCGGACGACGCTCTTGCGGATAGAGACCAAAGGCGGCTGGGCTTTGCATCTACCCACTGCTTTGGCATCCCAGGTATCTTGGGTTCAATCCCCACCCCTGCCCGTTTCGATCTGGATGAGCATTGTACCGGCATGCGGTCATGTATCACTACTGCGTAATGCACGTTAAAGACCTAATGGCTAGTGGTTGTACTACACTGGCTACACTTCTCATCCACAGCTAGAACACCCCTCACCTGTTGACGCAGACCAAGTTCTAGGCTGTATAATCATACACACAACCAAATTTTTTTAGAAATGCATGTTTTGTGAAAATTTTAGATTTGTATGTGCAGGTGCCGATTTTTGTGATTTGTTTCACGGTGCTAGGATTCAGTGTGAACACCCTATAAATTTCAATTAGGGCAGCGAAATTAATAAATTAGCTTAATGAACCAATTAATAACCTAATTGACGACTAATTTCTTAACCCATTAATCGGTCCAAGGTGGACCCTTTTATGAGCTTGTCACGGATTTAATGTGCACCTGTCACGCCTCCATCTGTTTGAAAGAGTGTTCAGTGCAGCGCGGCTCGCTGTTGTTGAACAAATAACTCACTGCATCTGGTAAACCTAGGTAAATAGATAAATTGCCATGTTTGCACAGGCAGCAGAATCAAACACAAGCAAATTTCTAGCTTAAATCTATGTCCTGCTGTCTGTATTGTTATTTATTATAATTCTGAAGGAGGGTCAGTAAAGTTCATTAAATATACTATTTCTGCGTCACAATAAATCTCTGAAATTGTGTTGCTCACATGGCTATATTCATTGTTTGCTACACTCGGACTCCACACTAGACTAATTAACTGATTAGTTCATCACTACATCTCTGCCCTAAATGATATTCTGACCAAATATAAATTAATAAAGTAATGCTGGCAAAGTTGAAAAAAAGCGACCTTCAGTAAGCCACCGCGGCATTTCAAGACTGATCACTTCCAAAATTCAGCAATAAAGAGCCAACATAAAAGCAGGAACAGAGCTATGAATGGCATAGTCTGTTATTTATTTAAGGTCTAAATACGAGGAAAGGTTCATTGAATTTCACATAAATTCTAAAGCTATCAAATCTATAAAACAGAATAATAAAATACCAGCCAATATTAATATTTTTTATCTTCCACTCCGCCGAACCAACTTGACCGAGACAACAAGAGAGAGCGTCAAAATAAAAACTAACAAGCGTGATGAGCGCATGCCGTTACTGCTGCATAACAAAATATAGTAAGTACTATATACAGATATATATATATATACAGTGGAACCCCGATTACACGACTTTTGCAGGACCGGGCGAAATCGTCGTACATTCCGCGAGCTGTATCATCCGAAAGAACAATAATTACAAACACAGTGATCGGCCTCACGCGAAAAAAAAAACAAGCGGAGGTTTTAAATTATGTCCAAGCTAATAATCTGCTGTACTTTGATGAAGTAAAAAACCGTCGGAATGAGAGACGAGAGAATGATGGGATGAGCGGAGCAAGGACGGAATGTGAAAACGCCGAGGCATTTCATAACCCAGGGAGGAGAAGGGAAAGCGCCGTCTACTGTTCCCACCCAACGCAGCAGCTGCCTTGGGCTGCCGGTGGCGTGCTTTTGGACCCTCTAAAACGGCGCACAGAACTCTTCCGCGTTGCCGTGCCGCCGCCCCCCTCCTCAAGCAGCCATTTAATGCCTCGCGCATTTCCCACCGGAACGTCGTAAGACGCATAGAATCACGTGTCATGAAAACCAAACTTTTAATACATTACCGTAGGTATTTCTATGGGGAGGTTGTCGGGATTGGGCAAATTCATCATAAATGCGGGATGTCGCATAAACCGGGTTGCATGATCGAGGTTCCACTGTATATATAATTAATGTACATTGTCTGGTTAGTACATAGCTAGACTGTTTCATTTTGGTTCCCTCCAACAAGACCAACTTGGACGGCTAAAGTACACATCACGAAGAGCAGCATGCTAATGTCACCCGAAACAACCTCTAGGCACAATGAATTTTGCAGGGCTCTTTTAACATGAGACATCATAGATTCATCAGCTCAGCAGGGCTCTTTTAACATGAGACATCATAGATTCATCAGCTCAGCAACATAACAAATATCAAACATTATTTTCACCATTGTAACACATCACCAACCACAAAGGATCTATGTCGATTCACATGTCTGCTTAGGTGGTCACACCGCTTGTCAGTAACCATTTTGAATCACGGCTATAATCATCAACGTGATACCCCATTAGTGAAGAAAATTTCGAAATGATAAAACTGAACCCGCATAAAGTATGAGTTGTGTTCTGATGTAGAGAAATATTGCACACAATCTAATTATGTTTATACAGGAGCCATGCCATGAAGCAATATTGCAGACACCATTACAAAGAACCAAATGTAATCATTGAACCCATGAATGCACAGTAAAGTTGGCTAGAGCACACATCTAGCAGATGACTAGAGCTGCTGCGGGTGGGCAGACAGGCATCCGGTTCCATCCTCGTGTTGGCAGTGGTGAAAAATTTGTCCATAGTTTGAAGACACAATGCGAGAAAAGCAAGGAGGTGGCGTTTAGCTCCGAGACAGTTCTGCCGCCGTTGCTTCGCTGGCTGCAGACGTGGATAGGGGAGTAGTCACCAGGAAGTTTGCACTGATGATGAGTGGAAACTTAAACTCCTTCTCTATGGTCAACACCTTAGTCTCCTAGAAAGAAAAAAAAAGGTCATTAGTATTGCAACTAGAACAATAGAGGGTATGGTGGCCAGTATCACCTATGATAAAGAAACCTGGGCATTTTTATTCTCGTATTTCGTTGCCACGTTTTGGTGGATTTCCTTTTTTATCTCCTAGAAAACATGTAGTAATTCTGTACCATGCCTAGCTTTTGCATAAAAAAAAAGAATTTTTGAAAAGTTTTTTTATATTTCTTTTTGCAAACATGACTTATCAGGTACAATTTCATAAGGCAAACAGACTTGTGCATGAATAGGCCTTTTGCAAAATCGAAGCGATCCTAGTGGCGTAGTGACGTGCAAAGCATCTTGGAAACCCATTGGTCACCAAGTTTTGGTCATGATTTGTGAACCTCATTTCATGACATCCTGTCACGACCAAATACAGTGCTCGCATTTTCGAATACAGTATAGACCACTTACAACGTAACCGCTTATAGTGCAGGACCGGGTATAACGCGTCTTTTTTTAAACCACCGGTTCGCCTCCCATAGAACTCCATGTATTTACATACCGCTTAAAATGCCGGCGCGCGAAGGGAAATACCGGTTATAGTGCGGTTTTGGGAACAGCGCGCCGATTGACCGGTGCAGCGAGCATGCTTCCCTGTGTGACACAAGATAACGGCGCGAGCCGCAAGCGGCACTCGCGGGCCAAGGAGGTTGTTTGAAGAAGCGGGGAGAAGCGAAGAGAGAGGCTTCAGTTGCCATAGCAATGGAGGGACGAACGCACGTGTCGTTCACGTGCGTGCGTCCATAGAGTTATTATTATACGTGCGTCCCTCCGCTGCGTTGGAAACAAACAACCGCAACGACAGACCAATCGCAAGTCGAAGAGAAGTGTTCGCGCGCGTTGCACGCCGGTCGCGGGCCGGCTGCTTTTATCCGCGAACATGGCGTCGGTTGTGATCATCGACGTAGACGGCATGGTGGAAGCTCATCGTTCCGCGTAAAAGCGCTATCCTTGACTGTGAATTTTCGCTGTGTGTCGCTATGATAACCCAGCATGTACTAGAAGGGAAGATCCACCTACTCGTGCGGCAATGTTGTGGCGGCGCTCTCAAGATGGCAGAAACGCCCGTGTCATCGTGTTTGTTTACTTCGACTACAGTTGTGCTTTCTAAGCATTTGTGTTTTCAAACATCGCCTGGATTTCTTATTTGGAGCATTTCATGCCTGTGCTCAAGTTGAAGGTATTACTGGCGCGTACTGTATAAAGGATGCGAATTTTCACGCGTTTTCATCGCCGGAGAAAAGTGATTAGGGTTAGCAATCCTGAACGCTCGCAACGTCCGTCCGCAACCCGCGACGCCGTTAAAAGGCTGCGTCAGGCAAAAGTCACTCATTTCTTTCAAAATAGGTGACACACTTGAGAGAGAAGTGTACTAGTCTGGTGAAATAAAGACTTTCCTCAAACTAAGCTTTATTTTTCATCTAATATAAAATAAATTGTTTTACAAAGGTAAGTTGTCTCATGGCATGTATTTTGGCCTGAAAAATTGATGTTTTTATTGGCCTCGAGATCGACCTAGAGGTGGCGCTACGGTCGCGCTATCATCATCATCAAAGCGGGGATAGGAGAACGGCCGCCCCATAGGCGCTCCACGTTCGCGCGCGAGACGGCGGATATTCTTGCATTTATTTTGTCGCATACTATCGGTGGGAAAACAATTCTAGCGGAAAAGGATGCGGTACTGTTCGGTGCTTCAGTGAAGATCAAATCGTGTTGCAAGCGTGCGGCCTAAATTTATATAATCGCTTCTGTGGGTGCGTCGTCTGCTCTAGGCAGACGTTGGAAAGCATGGATCACCACGACTGATGCCTGTCTCCGGCTGAACTGGAATATTTATGTTAAATATTTTTTTTTTCTTTCTTAAATGGATGTATTGGCTCATCAACGTGGCAATTAAAAAAAAAACAGTAATTCTAACCCAGATAACATAATACTGGTACTGTGGGCTGTGAAATCGCAGCTTCTATGCTTTTTTTTAACTTCTAGATTTTGCAGTAATATAAATATTTATAATGAAGATAAGTTAGCGCCGTATTGGAAATTACCATGCTATTGAGTTCCTCTGCCCTTTTACTGTGCCATAGTGTGGATAAGTTTTGTGGAGTCTGAACAAATCGACTGCGTTGCGATGAGGAGAGAGTCTCTTCTAGTTAAGATCTGCATACTGCACGGTTGGCAGGACAACTGAAACAAGTGAAACAAACTGTTCTAATATATCTGCCGTGGCTGTAATAAAGGGATGTGACCGAGCAACGCAGCAGTGTTTCTGTTATTAAATGCTTTTCTCGGTAGCGTGGTTTCACCCGCTTCAATTTTCTTGGTGAGGGCCGCGGATGTCAAGAGGCTACTACTATAAATTTCTGGCTAAATAATCTTGTATTCAAACACAGTAGACTCTGCAAACCCAACAAACGACGCGCACCACAACACAGACAGCATTGGCCGCACTGATACTCTTTTACTGATAAGGGCTAGCGAGGCTTCACGAGAATTTCCGATCACCCTCCGCCCTCACCTAACGTGAGACTGGGCAGTTCATCGATGAACTTTCAGATTATTCAAGTAATGCTTTAATTCAGTGTGTCGAACCGAAAAAAATACGGGTTCGGTTATGGTTCAGGTTCAGGTAAATTTATTTTGTTCCGGTTCAGTTCCGGTTCGATTAATTCGATCTGCGAACCGGTTCGGGGCGCTGAACCGGTTCGCGAACCGGTTCGGAAATTTTAAATGATAAATTGCAACATCAAAATAAATTACAAATAAAACATCTGAAATCAGCACATACGAAACGGGATACATCGTAGTGTAAGGCTCAGGGATTTCTACCTGGAATTGTTTCTTTATGTGCACTCAAAGGTAACCTCACCGACGTTTACGCATTCGGACTTCATCTAATTGGGTCCGACGCAGTAGCTGTAAAATCCGCGACCTCCTTACAAACCCACTTACAAGTAGAACTCGCTAACTATCCCGCCACCTCGGCGTGTAAGCAATTGAAGGAACAGTGGGGAGAAAATACAGCTTTCTTTATTTGAACTAGCCTTCGTACCTCAAATTAGACCCTTAAAGAAGTTTTCATTAAACAAGATACGGAATATGAAAAACACTTCACCGAACGCAACGCCAGAAGGACGTAATAGGATAAATATTAAAACAGAAGACTTCGCTGTCTCACAAATACGTTAGCTTTTAAGTGCCTATACGAAACCGGATGCATTATTATCAAACTCCACAGCCTTTTCTTTTCTCATTCCGATGGAAGCAAGCTTCAAGAACTCGCGCGTTCTAGAAACGTGTTATGAAATGAGCACACAGCAGCATTTAGGATTTACGAGATTGTAGGAAAATGAAATCCCGTGACGCAATTTTTTTTTTTTTTTTGCACAGCTTTTCAATTTTTTTTTTTCGTGCAAGCCGCGACCAGCGCAATACTGGTTCCTATGTCAAGATTCATGGATGCAGCGTTTGTCAAGATTCATGGATGCAGCGTTTATATTCCTAAGACTGAGTGGAGAAGAAAAATATGTAAGCGAGGTGTGTGTCAGTTGACGGCACTTAAAAAACAAATGGCATTGATAGCACATTCATTGTCAACAGCGCGTGGCTGAGCCGTTTTGAGATGAGCCGGTAACCGTTTTTTTTTTCCGGTTCAGTTCCGGTTTGGGTTCATCGCAATAACAATATAACGGTTCGGGTTCAGTTCCGGAAAAAATACCGGTTCGGTTCAGGTTTTCGGTTCGGTTCGGTTCCGGTTCGACACCCTGCTTTAACTGCACTTTTTTTTCTGCCGGTTAATTGGAGTCTTGTGCTCGAGAAAGTCAAGAAGGAGTAAAAAATGCCTGCTTTATTATTTTTGGCGTCTTTATTTCTTTTGTGACACTGGCTTGCACGGTAAACCACTTCAGAGTGCTTGTCATTCCACCGAGGGTGATTATACTGTTTAAATAATAACTTTAAAAATATTTCATTTAGAAGGCTTCCGTGTTCATATTTATGTAGGACTCACAACGTGAAGTTTAGGATGAAATTGCAATATGCCACTCATGACATAGTAAAACCAGTAACAAATGTGTAGTTTTAACGTCTTTGACACGATATGACCGGCGAAAAATCAACATACGGATTTATTGATTGATTAGTCCATTAAAGGATAACGATCAGTCGGGTTAATTTTCTAATCAAACCACAGATCCACTCAACATTCAATACTTTATGAAAGCCACGGTTTGTGCGAGTAAACAAAAATATGTGGGACCAGCGATTGTATACAAACCAACACACTAAGGTTATGGAAGCTTCCGACTTATTAATAATAGCTTTGCTGAATTTCTACGCATGGGAAACGATAGAACACAACCTTTAGTAAGAAGAAACGGCAAGAAAAAGAAAACATTTAATAAGGAATGTCAAGCTCAGCCTGAAACGGGCTTGCCTCGTCGAGATCCATGCTTCTAAACGTGCGCCCGTAGCAGACGACGCACGGCGGTATCCCCGCTTTCGCGCGTTTCCAATTTCGGCCGCACGGTGGCGACACGGTTCGATCTCGAGACGAATAGCGCGGTACCGCTTATAGTGCGGATTTTCGCGACTCCCGCGACATACGTTATATGCGGTCTACTGTATGTGACATTCATAATACTCCAGGCATTGCCTACCAATATGCATAGAGTGCTGGGGCAAATTTTGGGGGCTCCCGACGTGCCAGAGCTTGTGCACAGATAAACGCAGGACTATGACAGCGTACAGAAGAAGTGTACAGGGCCGGTCATCCTGTTCCATCGTCTCCTCAGTGGACTTCTTAAATTATCCGTGAGCCGCGAGGCTAACGCTGCACTCTGGAGTGTTAGCCAAGCCGCCAGAAAGGTATGGGATGCGGCTAGACGTACTAACACTTCTTGCTAAGCCTAGCCAGGTCCTTGAAAAAGGGCGCCGACAAGTCAAAATCCCATTTCTTTTATTATCCGAAATGATAAAAAACGATGCCTGGACATTACCCTCAAAATTCGAAACTTGGGAACTCGGTATTTGTGAAGTAAAAAGACAATTCCCCAAAGCCAAAATTGAAGTTCTCGCGCGATCCACGCCAGTGCAGTGACGTCAAAGATTGAGTACCCCTGCAACTCGAGTCTCTCTCAAGCCTCCAAACCATCCAGACCCGAAGTGCCGTGTTCGTAGACGTCCCTTGATCAACCACTCTCCTTTGTGCGTGCCGCCTATCGCTGTGAGCAGACGACACTTCACTTTCGAGTTTGAAGTTTGAAGCAATCTCGAGTTTGAGACCGAGTTTGAAGTTTAAAGCAATCTCAAATTCTTTGAAACGGTGTGAGTTCGAAGAGAATGCATGGTGGACTCTTGTGAGCGGTGTGAGGGGCCATGTTGCGCCGGTTCTGCATGAAAGGCTGCCCCGGTGGAGTCGCAACCGAAACTATGGTACGCAAACACCAAACCCAGTTGTTTTGACCATTTGACGATTTCCTTTTCGCAGTCCGAGAAGTTCCTAAAAAGGGAACTTCGTCCGATTCCTATCATCCTCAGCGCATGCGCTGAGCACTGCCATGGTTCCCAAAAGAAGATAAAAAGCTAGGAGGCGACATCACTCCGGACCCTCATTTTCGGTATTTCAAAAAGAAGGGCCATAGTGCGCTCGCAATTGCTTTAAAATACATGCTTTACGAATGCCGCTATTAAATATTATAGGAATGTCGTTTACAAAGCTTACAAATTTCATAATCGACTACGTCACAAATATAAAGCGAGGAGGTGAAATGAGGAAGAGAAAAGCAATAAAAATAAAAAGGTGCGCGCGCGCATGGGAAACTTTTTTTTCACGTTGTGGTATTTTTTTTTGCGTGTCTATGACTAAACTTCCATCGTTTTAGAAAACAAAAAATATGACCTTTGGGAGGTCAGTGCCCTTTTAAGGCCATTGGAGGTCTGTGTTTCAATGGGGTCTCTCACGAAGACGAATGGGTGCAAAGAGAGCGTTGACTTTATTTACATGCAGTGCCGAGATGCACTACTTTGTCAAAGGGGCAATCGAAACCGAAACTATGCCACAGCTCTCCATGGAGGAGTGAGCGGGGAAGCTCAAAAGACGAGCTCTCGCGGCGCAAAGCTATTCGGCAAAGGGTTCGTCCGTTAAAGGGAAGATGGGCACTTCTAAATTTGAGAAAAAAACGCTTGAATTGCGTTCATTTGGCCTTTAAAATAACAGATGCTAAAATAAAATAACATATGCGACGCGCCGGAGAGCCATATGAGCAATTTCGAAATAGGGCTGAAGCCCCGCCTCCCTAGCCTTGGGCAGCCAAAAGATCCGTCGATGACGTCACGTACAGCGACTGTCTTTCGCGTTTTCCTCGCATTTAACAATACTTGCGCAGAAAATGGTTTGGGTATTCGGGTTCACGGGGTAAAAATACACTAGAATTCACTTCTAACTCATTTTTTTCAAGAAGCTCCGTAGCTTCCCTTTAAAGGTCCATTTAAGGACGCAATAATGGCAAGAAAGAAGTTAGTCTTGGCGGGCTCGTTCAAAGGTGAGACGATTTGGCCCAAGACTTATTTTCTGAGAAGATTTGTGTCGGCACGCCGGCCAAAGCGAATTGTAGTGTATGTCATGCAACGCATGCGTCTTTTGCTTACACTCAGAGAAAGGGAAGCTCGTTCTCTCTGACCAATGCAGCAGAAATTCCCCGAGACTTTCAGTCCCGCGAAATTACCCTATAGTTCCCGGTTTTCCAGGTTGGTGGACACCCTGTTTACTCTCGTGTCGCGGCCTAAGATGCTTTTACGTCGAAGGACGGGGCGCTCACCGCGTTCCGCGCCAGAGTGGCCGACCGCAGACCCGTGGAGGCCAGCGGGTGGGCATCCCCGTTGGGGCCGACCGAGAAGACGGCCAATCGGTAGAGGAGGTGCCTGCGGCCACCCACCACCGCCGACCGTAGGACGTCGGGTTCGGAGCGGTCGTTCCGCCGGAACTTGATGCTCCTGCACGGAGAGTACCAGATTGCAGGAGATCGCGTCCCCCAAACCCCCAAAGCGTGTGCAGGAATGATACCACCTATACTTCGTTCAGATGCAACGTAGAGAGCACTACGAGCCGTCGAAGCCAATCCAACGCAGCGTGAACGTCACGCGGCCCAAAGGCAACGATGCACGGGGTGCAAAGTCACATGATACGTACACAACGCCGGATTGGCTGGAATGACCTGTAGCTTCAGCCGCAGTTTGTCGTAGGGTGAAACGCAAAGTAGAAGACAACGCTTGCACATGATGTCATCGTTGGTGGATTTCTGACCCGCCCCGAGCAGTAAACACGCTGAAATTCAACGAGAGCATGTGGCAAAGTGGCAGACGCTTGCATCTTGGCGTCGCCGAGTGCTAGCACCCGCTTCAATGCATGAAGCTACAAGAGCTGCTTGTGGCAACGCGGATGCAAGATAGGCAGCACCGCGTGGATCCACCAGAAGAAACGTTAGAGGTACACCTAAGCACTTCCTATGAGTTGTGAATGCGAAAGCATACATGTCATTCTTCCACTCCGTTATTTCGTCTGTGGCTTACTTGCGTCGACGGCCGAGCGCGCGCTCTCTTCGCCGCGCTGACCTTGGGCGTGAAGCCACTGCCTCGCTCGGCGAACAGACGCTTCGTGTAACCGGTGCGCTGGCGGCACGGACACGCAGCACCATGGAGTGGCAGTTGTTTAAACTGACATGCAGCAGCCAGTGGGAGCCTTGTTCCTTGAAACTATGATGCACGCCAGCCAATGGGACCAAAGCCGAAATCCATCAGATTTCAGCTTCACTGCACTCCATTGGGAGCGGGGAAACTAGGTGCTGTTTAGCTAGGCTTTTCGCGCAGCTTCAAGGCTGGGAGCCGTCAGATCTCGGCTTCACTTGGAGAAGGGAGTTTAGGTGCCGTTTGGCGTAACTTCAAAGCTGATGACGTCGGCTCGCTCCATGGGAAAGTTAATGCTTTCACATTAAAAGGCACAGGCCTTCTCTTCTAGGTGGTATTGAAAGTGCAGCCAACCAAAGAATGGAGGATCCAAGTGGATCACTTGGCCCCTTTTACATAAATACGAACAAGCCAGTGTTAAGTGAAATATGAATTTCTATGTCACATTAGAGACAACGAAAGGGCAGGAGGAGGAGCCTAGTGGCACCCTGTTAGTACACAGTAAGATTCTGCCGATATGCTTTGCAGGAGACCACAGTAAAGATATGTTTGATACCAGAAAATGTCACTGATAGTGCTCTTTGGAGAGGGAAATAAGACAGGAAGCAACTCTCACACTATATTTCGCTTAGACATACAGGGTGCGGCCGTAAAAACTTTCACATTTGGCACGCCTAGCAAAAATCGAATTTCAAACATACATACCTGAAACTGGGCACACGAACGTCGTTTATACCAAAGTTTTTTGCCACTTTTTTTCAGACGTCAACTCGAGAGTAGCGAATTATTAGAAAGATAACAAAAATGGCAGACGTGCATTTCCTATGGCCTATACCCGCCCGTTCGCCGTCTGCTATCTAATTCGCGACGCCGCTCCCAGGTGGCGCACTCAACGCAAAAACGCAGGAAACGCCGCACGAAAGGCTGGTGTCAAGCGAGATAATCGTGATAGAAAGTGATTTTACCGAAATATGTGAATGATTATGCACTTTTACTTGAAATTTAGAAACTGGCGGCCGCCCTCGTTTAATAAAAGTATGTTCTAAAGCAGACCAACGTGTGTCTTCCTTTGTCGTCTGCTTATCTGTTGACGGGTCCGTTCCCGGTGAAAGCTCAACTTTGGAATCAAGAGTGCCGCTGCTGAGGCATCTTGATTGTTCCCATTTATTGTTTTTGTTGCACTATCTTTTGCAGTTATTATCAAGATATTTTCCGCGCCGCCCTGCGATGCCGCAATACTCGGCAAGTGAGTGTGCCCAGGCAGTCAAGTGGTACGTGGAGCGGAACTCGGTGACCACAGCACAGCGAAAATTTCGCACTGCATTTCATAAACGCCCGCCTTCACGCCCGACTATTTTGACTTGGGCGAATCGTTTTATGAGTGGAGAAGACTTTAAAAAGAAGAATCCAGTCAGTGAACGTGAGAGCCTGCTGAAAAATGAGGAGCTCATTGAAGCGGTGCTTGCTGTCTTCGAGAGCGACCCGCAATTGTCAACAAGACGAGCAGCCAGGTTGTTTGAAATTTCGGAAAAAAAGCGTACGACAGATTCTGCGAAAAATAATTTGCGCCCGTACAAGATGCAAGTTGTCCAAGCCCTGCACGACGGCGACAACGTCCGACGTTTAGAATTTTGCAAGGCCGAGTTGTTGCGAATTAAGAGCAACCCGGGGCACCTGCATTTTCTTTTATTTAGTGACGAAGCAAACTTTCACCTAGATGGACGTGTGAATCGCCAAAACAGCAGGATATGGGCTCGCGATAACCCTCATGCAGTGGACGAACGGCATCTCCATTCACCGAAGGTGACAGTGTGGAGTGGGATTTGGCGTGAAGGCATAGTGGGCCCCTTTTTTTTCGATGGCACCGTTAACGCAGATGCCTACTTGGACATGCTGAAAACGGAAATGCTCCCTGAGCTTGAAAGGTACCACATGACAAAAGAAAACTGTATATTCATGCAGGATGGGGCGGCTCCCCATTACGCAAAGAGTGTGAGGGCATGGCTCCATAACACGTTCCCTCGGCGGTGGATGGGTCGGGGATCAGATTATATGGACTGGCCTCCACGATCCCCCGACTTAAATATGTGCGACTTTTTCGTATGGGGATTTATAAAAGGACTTGTCTACAAGAAGAGGATCCCCAGCATCGAAGAGCTGAAAGAAAAAATTGAGGGCGCGTTCCTCGAGATCGACGATGGGATGCGCGAAAGGGCTTTCCTGGAGTACGAAGCTCGACTTCGGCTTTGCGTGTCTGTAAACGGCGGACACACCGGATCGGCCGAACCCTAGTCGTTTAAAGGGCCGCTGAAGCGTCAACATTATTTCAAATCGCCGTGACAGAAGAGGCGTATCAGAGGATGTATTTTTCAAGAATAAACAATTGAATGAACGCACAACTTCCACTACCTGACGGAATTTAAACTATAGTTTCCCTCTTACTTTCTCTCGTGCTGCTTGCCGAACGCGAAGAGCAAAGTAGAGGTCTCTGATAGAGGTACCAATGGGAAACCAGCAAAAGGACGACTATCTTTCTCAAATACCAGCCATTTTATCACCGGTCATCCGAAATGACTCCAGCGCCGTAAATATTGCTCCAATTAATATGATTTCTTTTTTTTTACAAAAATGTCTTGCGACATATGTGTTAATTATACCCAAACTGTATGGAAAAAAAATTACTTTATGTGCTACGGCGGCCCTGTAAAAATCAGAATGAAATGATAACTTAAAACGAACTTGTCTGCAACGGTAGCAGCACCGCTTGCTATTCCAGGCTGTAAATAAATGATCTCGTCGCATCATGGTGTCTTCTTGCTTGCATGACGATCTGTCAAAACTTGACTTGAAACAGGTAATTTCAACAATCGTTCATATATTTCGTTTAAATCACTTTTTATCGCGATTATCTCGCCCGACACCAGCCTTTCGTGTGGCGTTTCCCGCGTTTTTGTGTTCACTGCGCCACCTAGGAGCGGCGTCGCGAACCAGATAGCAGGCGGCGAACGGGCCGGTATAGGCCATAGGAAATGCACGTCTGACATTTTTGTTATTTTTCTAATAATTCGCTGCCTCCGAGTTGACGTCTGAAAAAAATAGGCAAAAAACTTTGGTATAAGCGACGTTTGTGTGCTCAGTTTCAGGTATGTATGTTTGAAATTCGATTTTTGCTAGGCGTGCCAAATGCGAAAGTTTTTACGGCCGCACCCTGTATATGGCTGCAGAAAACTACCATATTTGTTCAAATGCAGCTTGACCTGTTTAAACTTTTCTCTAAAATGAGGTGTCAAGCAATAATCGCTACCAAAACTAATGCAATTAATTCCTCGCATAAAAACCGACAAGTTTGTCCCTTCAGCACCAAAATATATTTAAATGTATCTCAAATTCATGAATAAAACCGGGAGACATTGTACTGTAGGCTCACAATAATTCAAACTCGGATATTTCATACTTCTGGTTAATTCAAACTAATTTCAAAATTTTGGTTGTCCTGCTGTTTTTAATGTATTTATAAGCCGCTTAATTCCAACGGTATTTTCATGTAATTCATACTTATTGTTCTTGCGGCCCCGTTGAGTGTGCTTCTTTCCGAGCACCGGTGCACTGCAGGGAGGCAACACCAGCGGAATTTGCTTCCGCGGGTGTTGCTTCTCCGCAGTGTACCAGTGCTCATTGAGAAGCGCACTCAACGGGGCTCAACCAGGGCGCACACGAGTTATGGAAACGGGCACCGCGTGGAAATCGCCATATCAACTTGCGCGGACGCAGTGACATGGCATAAGTCCACGTCACAGCATCCGCACAAGTTGCAATAAAAACTGCTGCGCGGTGCCCGTATCCATTGCTCATGTGTTCCCTGCTTAATAGTTCACATTAGACAACTTCTTGGCCAGGTGAACAAACTTAATTTTGTTTTGAGTTGTCATGTGCTGTCTAAGCAGTCCGCAATAAACAACACTTTAGAGGGACAAATTTATGTCATACATTTCACAAATGTTTCATGTGTGGCCTATGTATCATCAAATATCTGCTTTGTATGTGTAGCCATTCATATGGCATATCATAATTTTATTTTGCGTCATATTTAGATGAATTTGTGATAATTAAAACAAAATCCGTGGCTTCGTGGAGTTTGAATTAATGAGAGTCTACTGTGTGCAGCTTGTCTTCTGAAACCAGAAACGCTCAATTTCCTATTTTGTCCCTATTTGGTATGTTTCTCTATTTTATCTGTAGGATTAAGATGCACTTATTTTTATACTAGTGCCAGATTGGGTGGCAGTTTTTGGATGGAGCAACTGAGTAAAAAGAAAAGGAACAAACTAATTAGATTCTCCTACAACTGTTCGACAACATATCACCAATGCTGGGAAACTACCAAATTGCGGGAACCACCACAGTGCAGGAACTATCAAGCTAAAGCAACTTTTGCACCGTAAACTGTTACAAAAGTTTAGTAACTCTCCGAGCAGCCAGACAATTGTTTGGACACCAGAGCTCGTACACACACTAAAAAGTGGGCTTTCTTACCTCCCCTGATAGGTGACTATCAGATCAACTCCAAAGTTGTAGCCCGTCCACCTCCATATATGCTGCGAATGACAGGCACCATTACAGATCATTACCAAGGGGTGAACACATGAAACTCAAACTGTCTCACACTTGTTCTGTCTTGCATCATATAAGTCTGGTATGCTTCTTATCTAGATGCAAGCATTGTAAGCTAAAACGAGCCGCCACTCCTCTGTACTCGTCTTTCTGTTCAACTTTACCGCCAATTCGTCCAAGATCTTACAGTCAGACCTCTCTACAGTCAGGTTCTCTGTGTGGCAAAACTAGATCATTGTACAGTGCAATCCACTTATAACAATGCCACATATAACGATGTATTACTAATTTTGATCAGTTTCTAGAGTTTTTAGACTGGAAACGATCAGTTTCTAGTCAAGATACAATGATAATCGGTAATAATGATTGAAATTACGGGTTTTCTCATTATTGTTATAAGTGGGTTGCCACTGTATTAACATCGTCCAAAATTCTAGAACTCGGGACAAAATCAAACTGCACAACACAAAAGCTTTGTGTTGTGCTGTCCATTCTTGTAGCGCCCCTGGTTTTGGAACCCCCCCCCCCCCCATCCCCATGTTAGTCAAAACAAACTCAAAACCACTTTCATTTTATTGTTTCTTTGTTACTGTGTGTGCTTTTTATTTCCAATATTAAAAAGTGTCCGTTTAGATTAAGGGTCTCAAACACGTGGCCAGCATGCGGCTCCCTGGGACACTGCCCTCAAGCGCCAAGTGGCTGCGAACAACCGTTTTCATGTCTTGAGTGCTATGTGCACCATAAATAATGTTCTCATTATTTATGAGGCATAAAACCTGTTTGCTCTACTCACACCTAAATCCTGGTTAGCAAAGTTGGTAGAGTGCTCCACTGGAACCAGGCGGATTTTTTCGGCCGTGCACCAGTCACCTAGCTGTGTTTGGAGTTTTGTGTTTGTCCCTTGTCCCCCTTGTTCCCCCTCTCCAGGGATTATTTTCGCTATTTTCTTTGTTGTTGTTTTTCTCCTGCTAAAACGTAACCCCTTTCCACCACACCTGGTCCTGCGACGGCCCTTGACCATTTCAGGGTGGGCTGCCTGGCCTCCCATACCTCAATAAGTCTGAGACCCCTGGTTAAGATACCCCACCATATCCATAACTTTGTCTTTCTTTTTTTCTTGGACTGTTTTCATTATTGTATCTTGGATTGCATTGTTGTGTCAAAAAATAAACTTCAAAACACACGCTCCGAATTTCACAAGGAAGAAACTCACAAAATGCAGAGTCCCACATATAAGGAATGTGGCAAAGGTCTGTGCTCAAACTAATTTAAGGCATCAATCAAGTCTGATGCATCCATTGCGCATACGAAGTTATATGTGCAATGGGGGCCACAACAAGTGCCAGAGGACACAGAACTGGGTACAGAATACAATGACCACCACCATTCATTCCTGCTTCATTCTGCCAGCATTCTCCACTCACAGGTGAGCATTTGATGCAAAGTTACTCACCTGTGCATCTGTATTAAGAATGCGACCACAGCGCAGGCAACACCGGTTGAACTCATCCTCATTGATACTTTTGGGCCTGAAAAAAAAAAAGAAAAGAAAAAGAAAGACATTTACAATTTCCTGTAATGCCAAATTAGAGTGCAGCTCTTAAGGAGGAGGAGGGTAGGGTGCAGAGATGAAGGTATGCCCTTCTTCCTCCTCTGAACACTCTCCTCCTTCCTCTCAACGTCACTCGTGACCCTAGTGACCTTCGTGACGCCACTTGTGAAGGCCTCGTGAAGGTCGTGCCCTTCACGAGTGAATATTGTGACGTCCCTCGTGATGTCACGTGTGACATCATCAAGGGGAGCGTCCCATAATGCAACGCACGGTTACACCGATGGCGACTGCGACGCCGCTCAAGCCAGAAACGGGCGCCTAAAGGCTCTGCTCTAAAAAAGACGACGAACTGATTACTTTTCTTAATTCTAACTCCTCGAAGTTGCAGTCACATGATGAATTTCACTGGGACCACGAAACAGATGCTAATACTAGAAAACCAGACAATACTGTCACTCATGAAAAGAATTATGTCATTACAAAGTTTCCATGACACATCCAATGCCGCAAGTGGCTGTTGGCTCTAGTGTTTTTTTTTTTTTTTGCACTTCCTATTTTGGTACTCCTGAGCCAATACAGCCCCTTAATCCATCCCCAGTTCCACCAAGAAATAATCATTTTCTTTTGGTCTCAGAAGTTAGCACTGCTCAGCGGCCGCTCACCAACTGTTTGCAAGGGGTTCAGTCCCCCCAAAATTGCCGAAACCAAGCTAAAAGCATACAATTTTTTTTTATCGTATCCCATCAAAAGAGCTCAAGAAGACTAAATTCTAAGAATTGCCTGGGACTGTCAGCATTCCTCATTCTCGAACCTCAGCCTATCACGATTCTTTCATTCCTAGGACATCACCAGAGTGGAACCACCTTCCGGCGTCATTAATATTATTACCCTCGTTAAATGTGTTTAAAAGTGCTGCTACTAATTATTTTTGCGAAAGTGACCCGTGACCTATTCCATGTCTTCTATTACTGTTTGTTGTTGTTTTTTTCACTCACTCCCCTCTGTAATGCCCCCAGGGCCTTGAGGGTATGTAAATAAATAAATAAATAAATAAATCATACATTGGTGCTACTATCCTTTTCTTAATTACACATTTGTTAGAGACTGTTATCCCTCCACCCTAAGCGACTTAGGAGAGATCAATGTATACAAATAAATGAGACAAAATGAATGAATAGAGAATCTCACCCCTTGTCCAGGCCTTGGTCCACTTTGAGCATGGAGTACCACTGGTTACGGAACACCGGGTACAAGGATTCTGCAGTTAGCCACATGAAAAAACGTTGGACGACCAGTCAACGGCACCATTCCCCAGCTATTCCTTGATAAGTCTCACTTGTGTTGACCTGCTTATCCAAATTAGGCAGCCTTATCTCGTTATTAACTGTTTCTGTACTTTCTCTTCCTCACTTGGAATTGTATCATGTTCTTTTTTACAGCAGAGCTGTTAAGGGCTAGTTTCCCCAGTATCGTGTCCGCAAATTATAAATTATGACACCGAACTCTAACTTTGGGACCCCTGCCTGAATAATTATCTTGTTGGAAAATTAAAACATGTTTTGACCTGACTTGAAACTATGACCATACGATTCCTGACATTGTGGAGAAAGTGTAGCTTATTCGTCCAACAATGAATTCTTAGTTTCTGTTACAGATTTGGCCTTACTTTAAAGCTCTTCAGAACCACTTGCAGAACATTATGGCTACCCTTCAGAACTCGAACATTATAGTTACCCTGTCACAAAACTAAACTATAAGCAAAAATAAACTAGCTAGTGCATATGCCAGTAAAATGGCAACAGAGCATTATCTAAGGCAGCCAGGCACAAAAGTTCCAATCTATAAGGTAGCATAATTCCCCGGCCTGGCTTTAAAAATGGGCCAGAAAAATCGGCGCCTGAACGTTGCATACCAAGACTTTCGTCAAAGGTGCATTTTACGGTGGATTTTTTTTCTATGAAATCTCAAGGCATAGCTCCCTTCCTGCAAAAAAAAACAAGATAAAAATAGTTTCCAGGGTTAACGGCAGACGTTTGATGCAGGCGACAGAGTTGGTAACGGTTGTTTTTGTGGCGCCATCTCCCAACTAGCACGACAAGCAGACAAACAGTCTGTTTTCGACGGCAGACGTTTGACGCAGGTGACCGAGTGAGCAACAACTGTTCCTACAGCGCCACCTCCCGACAAGCATGACGACCAGGTCACCTGTTTGTGACCCAGCATACTGTCTGCTCGCTGCGCCTGTTGGGAGACGGCATACACAAACAACCGTCCCCAACTCAGTCGTCTGCATCGATGTCCATTTTTGACCCTTTGGGAAATTCCCCGCACAAAAGGATGCTTCCCATGACGCAATGGCACACAGTGAAGCAGTAGCACATCATGAGCAATCAGCACTAAAGAATTTTGTGCCCCCGTGCAGGCTACCAGCCCGTATGCCATTCAAACGAATGCTGTAAAATTCTTTCACGCGTGGCGGACATGAGGGCAGAACCAGCGAACAAGCGAGTACAAATTGGTCGGGAGAATATGTCACCTTTTGAGATGATGTTGTCCAACTCCAACATTTCGACGTCGAGAGGATGATTGATGAGGTGCTCTATTCGGAGTGCCTCGAACGCTCCGGCGTACTCCTCACCCTCTAAGCTTGCAACGAAGCTCCCACTCTCTGGAACATGAAAAGGACCTTTTATCACCGAAAGCCAAATGCAGTAAAAAAACATTGTTTCAATCCCTTTCTGAATCATAGTCTGTGCATGCAAAATATCTCAAAAGCGACAGTTAGAGCAAAATGTGCAATTATGTATAATGCGAAGGGGCTATTTCATCTGCAGAAATGTAAATCATGTAACACCTGAAAGCCAAACGCAGTGAGAAACGCTATTCCAATCCTTTTCTGAATCAAAGTCTGTGCACGTCGAATATCTTTGAAACACGGGCGGTTAGGGCAAAATATGCAATTATATGTCACGTTAAAAAGGATATTTCACAGACAGAAACGTGAATAATGTGCACACTGTGATGTTATCCATTCAACAAGATATAACACCCACAAAAATCCCCTGTTTTCGAGCATTTTCGGGTTCTACTTAGTGAGCAGAGTTTAAAAAAATAACTAAAAGTCAGACAAATGAGAGATACAGGGGAAGACCAAAAGCACTTTCAAATGAAAATTGGAAAATATCTTAGAGCTGAACACAAGATCATCCTACAGGTAATGGCACATCAAAATAGTTGTAAAAACGGTGGTTGTGATTGACATTAGCAATGACTGCAGTGATTCGTAGGCGCCCATCTTATGCTACATGGCCACAAAAGCCGTGTCAACTTCATGCGTCAAGACAGAAAAAGGTGGCTTCATAAAACACCACACGAGCAACAGTGAGATCCGCAGAGAGCTTTAAAGAGGCGGATCAGACAAGGCTTACGCTCTCTTTCCTTGAAGTACTTGTGGGCTTGCTGGCAGGCCTCCTTCTGATCCCCTTTCCAGCAGGCATGTTCCCTGAGGTATGCCCACTGTGAGGGACATGAAAATTATGCCATAGTCAGGTCAACATACAGACACTTGCTGTACTTGCATGCATAAAAATATACAGCAAAATAAAAATAAAAAAGAGGCCTTAGCAGAAATGCAACTTGTCATTGTTTGCGACGAGTGTGTTTGCATAATCTTGTGTACCTGCCAAAGGGTGCCACTAGTCTTAAAAACACTCTGGGTGTAAGAGCTCGGCCGCCAGAAAATGTCACCGATTCACGGTGGGTGTGTGACTTTTGACAAGCGACACATTCTCTTCTTCTTCTTCCTACAACTTATGCTACCGCATTCTGCGCGGCTCTCCTATACCCAAAATACGAATAAAGCGGTATCTGGACATCTCTCCCAACGAAGTACCGTATTTACATGAATTTATAGGTCGACCCATATTTCAATTTTTGAAAATCTGAAGTGGAAGGGGTCGATTTATAATCGAACCAAAACATTCCACCGCCGACAAAAACGAAACAATCGCGATATCAAGAACATCTCGCCTTGTTACGAATTCAGCCGGCTGTACCTGTAGCATTGCGCTATTCTGTGCGCTCATTTTACAAGATATTTTTTCTTTATTTGCACAAACGAGTATTATTGATAGCAATACGCAAATTAGCCCAAATGTATGGTGGTGAACAGCGCACAGCGCGCCCGAATCCCAGGGGTGGCGGCACTTCTTGTAAGAGCCACACCAGAAAGGCTGCTGGAACAGCCTCATGCCTCACTCCCCGCGGCTTCTTTTCGCATGATTCACGGTCAAGTCGTACGTCGTTTGATCGAGTGTCGAGATCATGCTGGAGCGCTAACTAAGTATTTTTTTATTGAGATGCGTGATCAGGGCAGTCTAGGTTTTCAGTGCTCGTTTATGGCCACTCTTCATCCAGAAGAAACCAACAACTGCACTGCTGGATGCAAGTTCGACCCGTCAGAGCGGGTGGTGCTCCAATGGAGTCTGCAACGGCGCAACATCTTAATTGTGACGGTAAACAAAGAGGCTTCCGCAGGCCAAAGTCTGGATAGGTGAGGATGCCTTCCAAAGTTAGGTCAGGCTTGCAACGTACGCCGCAGAAGTGTGCAATCGGTCCATACCCGTGATGTGCAAGGCGATCACCGAGCAAGCGCGGAAGATGCGGTTGATGCTGTCATTTGTGAAGTGTGAGATTTTGTTGGACGACATACTTTGAGAACGTAGCAGTGCTGACGACGGGACCGACATCACCAGTGCGAACGAATCGTAGTATCTAGTCGCAGACAGTGAGAATGACAGGAAGCAGCTTCAGTTGTCCTGCCTCCAGCGTGAGCTTCCTAGTTTCAATAACGCCTGGGCATCTCATGCGCCTCGCGCATGAGATGCCCAGGCATTCAGAGCACGCCAGAAGGCATTGATCGCGTGCTGGAGGCTGGGCTTTCGCAAGAGATACCCTGCCGCTCTCACGTGTTTGCCAAAAAATGCGCCTCTAACGATTTTTTTTATCTTTTTATGCCGATGGGCAATGTGGGGGGGGGGGGGGGGGTCGACTTACAATCGTGTAAATACGGTACTCAGCATTGCAAACTCCAAGAAAGTCAGCTATGAAGTGCATAACACACAGCATCCACGAGGTATCAGCTAGTTACTTTACAGGGCTTAAAATAAATTTTATTTTGCTCCACAGGATAGCAGCACAATGGTAAACCCTCTTTGTATTGCACCCCCTTTATATAAAAAAATTAAAACCAGATTCTTCGTGATGATTTTGTAGACAGCCGAGCAGCCTTATGAAAGGGATTTAGCAAATGCTTGTTAAATTAAATTATAGCTTGAAAAATATAGTGCAGCGCTGGCGGTGAGGGTAATAGAGAGTGGACATTCAGTTTATTAAAAGTCCAGCTTGAAAAACCAACAGCCCAATTAGCAGAAACCCAGACTCACGATGGAAAGCAAGAGGTAGAGGGAGAATTCTGTCTGGACCACCACCAAACTTGGGGAAGCCACCAGCCTCTGCATCAAATCTGGACTGCACAAAAATACAAAATGAACACTTAATTTTGCAATAAAAGCAATTAGGAACATTTCCGTCATCTTTTTTTACTTTGAGCGTTCTACACACAAAGGCTACACTTCTATTTTTCTATGAAGCGTGGGTATGGATGATCACTGTTAATTACAAAAGGAGCCTAGCAAAAATAATGATGCAAAGATCATGTTTAGACCAATAAAAGCAGGCTGCACTGAGACACCTCAATATGAAACTCAACAACAAATTACATGCTTAAATCCCAAAGTTATCAGTGTCTTGCCCTTCCTTGCTGTCATTCTGTAAAGAGGAATAATTGGCAAAAGGTTCTTGTGTGCTTCGCAGGGAAGTAACATTGAGAGCTTTGTTCGTTAGAGACTCCAAAGCCTATCACCGAAACATTGCCCCTGGCACATATTGGGCACAACAATTTTGACATGCGAACTCACATTTCAGGACAAGTGATCTTCTTGAAGCGCACCAAAAAAAACTATCCACTTCCACAAACAGCTGAAACCACAAACTGCGGGTTCAGAGAATGCCCGTCCTTCCCGAATATCACGAGCACGGATGACAAGCATGGAAGACATTCGTGACAATAAAGAAAAAAAAAGAGGACCTCCCGGTTTCGGTCATTCAAAAGTGCACAGCCCGTTGTTGAAGGCGCCAAATGGCTTCCCGGCACTGACCCAATTTGTCGCAGTGTGTCGGCCGAGTCGTTGACCAGGAACATGAGGTTTCGCTCCAACCACTCGAGGCACTTGCTTCCCAAGTGGGCCAGGGCATACTGCTCGGCTACTTCGTGATACGGCAGCACCGTATCCAGCCTGCAGACGCACCCGTACTGGTTTTTTCCAAGCTAAACACGGCTAAGATCTGCTTTCTTTTTTTCCAATTCTGCTGCTTTCGAAATACAAGTGTGCTTGGAACGCTGGTTCACAAACTTGCGTTTGCTTACGACCGAGCTCCCATGATCTCTTACAATGAGGAAACAGCTGCCTACTGGTGCCATCAATGAGGTGGCCCTGGAACTGCATTTCACTAGAGCAAAAGATTTTGCAATATTTGCGGGGTCAAATTTATGTACCATCCGTGAGAAACGGTTGTTTACGTAATTGTCAAAAGTTCTGCGAGCCAATAAACGAAGAACGATGAGCGAAAAAAATAGAAAATATACGGAAATTGCAAGCGCTCCACAGTCAGCCAGTCGCCGACTGATTTTTCAGACTCGGAGGGGACCTCGAGTCCGAAAAATGAATTTCACCCCCCCCCCCCCCCCCCCAAAATATCAAATTTTCGCACATATTCCGCTGCGCATTGACCACTCTCCACTTGCTTGATATCAATTTTAAGTTCTCGTGCAACTTCCGTTTTATATTATTCCCTTTTCACTTGTTTGCTGATCTGTTTGATCACGGTGCTGCGCTTCGTCAACGCCTTCGCTGGCACAAAGAGCGAAGTTGGCTCCACTTGGCACTATGACAACGTTTAGTCTACCAAGCTCGTTTCAATACGAAGCCTATCGGCAAAAAAAAACCTTTGTGCTCAAAGACCACAAGAACGGCAGAGGGCCGCTCTCGAAAAACACGGACTACAAGAAGAACTGGAAGAACCACTAAAATGGGCAGATGGCAGCCATGTGGGCTATAGCAGGATCGGAAAACCCAACTATAGCCTCAACCCAGCTTGTAAATAGCGTACGACGTGGTATCAAGGCTACAAGGCAAAATCAAAAGAATCAAAATGGCGGCGACTCAACTTGCGGCACTATCGCAGTGGCTGTTAACTGAGGAAATCACGCACATTATGTCCGCGAGCAATAAGCTTTATGGTGTCCGAAGTTTCAATCAGTGTTATGCATTTTTTTTTAGTGCTTCCCAACGGCCAGAAGCCTAGGACGGTAGAGCACCAAGTCATATTACAAAGGTGGAAACGACAAAACAAATAGATCCAGAAAACGACCCGACGACAATGCACTAAATCAGATTGTCAACGTTTTTCTTGAATGATGTGATGTCATCATTAAAAACGTAAAGGCGCGTATCTAGATGATTAAAAGAGTTCTGTATGCAAACTACAGGAGAGAAACAATGCATGGGATTAACGGCAAACGTGCAGTTATTGCAAAAATGTCTAGCAGGCACATTTAGATTGATGCAAGACACAATAAAAGGACAGTCATAATACTCATGCAGACACTTGAACAAAAATATGAGATCACATCTGCCGCATCTTGTTTTTAACTCAACCAATCCTAAGCGATTGAGCACATTCACATATGAGTAGGGCTCTGACAGGTCTTGTATTGCATGAAACGCCCATGCGAATCGGCGAAAATGTCCAAATAGTCGGATGTGTCCAAAAAATCCGTCGGAGACTGTAGGTGGCAGCAGTGCATGCTCAAGCCGTAAGACATCACAAGAGGTTTTAAGGTGCTCAGTCGTAAGCCGTCACAAGTGTGTAAACCAGCCTTTTATCTCCTAATTTTCCAGCCTCACCTGGCTTTTGTCCCCAGAGCATCTAGCATCTGCCCTGTCTCGCTTGCTTGTCCTTGAACTATTTGCACTGTTCTATTTTCATTGTTTAGCATCGCTTCCCAGAAAATTTAGGTCCACAAAGATGCAAATAAAGGCCCATACTGGCTCGCAAAAATCTTTTATGGGAACTGCTTTCGACGTAAAGTCAGTCTGGATACAGATTCAAAGCATTTATTGATCTCCAATGATTCTTGACTGATTGAAAGTAGTTGTGGCATTCTGTAAACGACTCAACTTTCGCGAGGACCTTATTTTTGCAACGTCGAAAAGATTGGGAAAAACTTATCACGCAAATACACGTAGCACATGGGCGTGCCAACCGGGGGCCAAGGGGGGCACTTGCCCCCCCAGTGCTCAGAGTGGAAGGGGGCAAGGCATGTGTTTTGCCCCCCTGAAACAGCCACCACAGGACAGGGCAAACAATGTCCGGCGGCGCCCAAGGAATACCAAGGGCACCGCCCCCCAACCCTAGGGGGGAGGGGGTCTCGTTTGCCTCCCCCCTCCCAACTCAAAAACAAGTTGGTACGCCACTGACGTAGCATATCTTTCAAAAGTGCAAAAAAACTGTGCCAGCGAAACCTTCCCGAAACTCAATTTCTCAACATTTGCAAAAGATTGAGTCCGTAAAAATAAAGTAATTTACTAAACTCGGGAGGCAGAAGTGAGGACTTCACCATGCATACGATAACGGGAGTACTGCATAAGGAATGAAAGAGTGCTCAAAAAGACTGTTCTTATTTTTTGGTCAAATTTTTTTACCTTCCGAAGTAAACAAGTTACCTAACAGATCAGGTTTATGCCGTCTTCCCTACTGACAGATGCACCATTACAAAACAGCACACCCAAACTTGTCATAAAAGAGAGAATTACAAACACACACAAAATTTCTGCAGTGGCTGAATCCACATAGCCAATATACAATGATGTCCCTTCACCTCCTGTCACCATTTGATGCACGAGAAATGCAGCAAAATCAAGTATTTGTGTGTACCGTATTTGTTGATTGTATAGCTTGTTCTGTGTGTAGAGGCTTGCTAGAACGAGAAACCAAGTTCTAGATGAGTTGCAATTGGCACCAGAAGCTAAACAAAGTGCTTAGCAGCTAGGACTCACTTGATGGTTTCCTCCATGGTCTCCGAACAAAGTTGAATGAGCTCGTCCTACCAGAAAATGAAATCCCATTACAGCACGGCTTATAAACACTGCGTGCAACAAATGTTTTGCCAATTACTTTGAGCAGCAGTACTATAAAAAAATCTAGACAAACAAATATTTTAAGCATTAAAGATTGATCAAGATAATGTGTAACATTCAATTTTTTAGATCAAATAGTGGTACCAAAAACCTTCAGTCATCTCGTAGCACTGCATTAAAATTTGCCATCGAACTGCAGTATACCACCAGAAATAAAACTGTGAGCATTATTTGTACCATTTGTTTATTTAACATCTCCAATAACATTTTAAGCATTCATGTTGGTGCCCTAGACAGCAATAAACAAAATACAAACATGCTTGAAGAAATGAGAGCAACAATACACTTTTTGAAATAAAAGGGATGAGAGTAGTGATGAAACATAAACACTTAAAAACAGTTGTTGCTCCTTAAAACATATACAAACACTTATGAAATGCCATGTTTCTACCGACACATCATGAATGTTAAAAATCGGTTTGTTTCCTCAAAGTCAGGAGTTAATACAATATGATACCAGAAACTTTATTTTTAGTTTCAGTTTTAACAAGTACAGTAATAGTAAATAAAAAAGCAAAAGCCCAAAGGATGAAGTAACATACCAGCTGGAAGAGTGTGGCCGTTGCCAGAACAGGAATTGCGTTCTCAGGATCTATAACAATCTCGTCCAAATAGAGTGAGCCAAAGACAATCTTGAGGGCTGAAAAGGGACATTAATATACCAATGAAAGATGCTGAAAAAGTGTAATTTAACACACAATAGAACATTCACTAGTACATATAAAGTGTGAAGCCCACCCATTCTTTTGAAAAGTGCACCAACCATTGACATCATTCATGTTCAACATAAAGCATCTGACAAGGGTGCCGCTAGCTGACAGGACGAAGACAGTTCTAGTGCCACTGCATGTTCAAAATTTCAACGAGGTATGAGTACCAGCTTACTAAATATGATAAAAGTTATCAACGAGTCAGTTCCTTATAAACGTTAGTCGTTAGTAAAGGGCAATTCCATTCCATTTTTGTTATAGAGAAACAGTACAGTTTTTTTTAGCACCACTTAGGAAGACATGTGAAAGTTTTTCAAAGCCAGCAAAATCTGATAAGCACCAAATCACCAAAATTTGTTAACTCTAGTGGGTGACATGTAGTGCAATGAATGCTTGAGTCAGTAGACCAGTGGAGGCTGTGCTAAAATGACAATAAGCTAGAGATATAGCTGCCTTTTGTTTGTGTGACAAATGGCCAGGTATTAGTGCTTTTTAATGTGAAATCGCCCAGTCACGGAATGTATAAAATTGCCGTTTAAGAGTTTGTGCGAAACTACACTTCCTGTAACAAGCAGCTGTAGTGCTGAAAAGAATATTAACACATGGCCTTGGAAAGTGCCTCCTATGCTCAAGTCTTCATAGAGGCAAGGCATTCCACCGAGCTAGGCTCATGCACCTGCACCTAGTCTGCACTTGTGATATGAAGGGTTACACATGGAGAAACTGTTCTCATTTCATGCTCACTGGTTCGTGAGAGACGACGAGAGAACTGCGAACATGCCTAAAAGGCCTGAAATAGAGAGAGAGAGGGAGATAACAGAAAGAGAGAGACTCACCCTCGCACGTAACCCTTGGGTCTTCAATGCCCACTTCCACAATGCCCTCTTCCCTCTCCTTCCAGCTGCCACAGAACATGCTGGCGAAGTAAGGCGACTGCAGGGGGAAGGAAAAAAATAATGCATAGTCGACGATTTGTGCAACCATGCTCGCAAGGTTTGTCATTAGACGTTTGCAGCTTTGTGGCGAAGGGGAGAGAGCTCTATGTTACTGAACTTAAAACGGGGCCTCTAGCAGCAGTGCTACGATGAAGCCACGAGAGGAGGAGACTCTGCATCCAATTTTACCACAAAAAGAAGCTAAGTTTTCTTCAAATAAAGTGTGCATGTACTACAACCTGATGAATGTGTACCAGTCTTGACAATATGCAAGGCTGGAAACCAAATGTTACGAACAAATGGCCAACCAGACACTTACCGAGCGAATGCATTAAATAATCTGACAAATGTTCCAGATTTTAACCAAACTAGCAACACCCAGTGAGAGTACGAGATCTGGGTAGATTACTTCAGTGCAATGTATGCCGGAAAAACCTCCTGATCGATACTGTTGGTTTCAAATATAGAACTATACTTATTTTCGATAACCACGACCAAAGCAAAAGCTATGCAAGCACGACGGTTTGAGTGTGTCAGCTGTGCACGGACACTCGAGTAGAAGAAGGATCATTATGCACCAGGCTCACGCTCGAAGCCTCAGCTTCACTCACATTTATGATGGAACAAAGTATACCATTTGTGATTCTCAAGCAGCAGCTTGCACCACCTAGACTAGAAACAGTTACACCACCCAGGTTTGTCCAAAATCCTACCTCCCATTGAACTGTCTATTCTGTGCATAATTCCACACTTCTTTAGACCTTTCCCCTAGTCGTTTAACCTGGTCTTTCTGATTGCAGACCCACAATGTGACATGTGCGAGACACTGAACTGTGACCGGAACAGCCAGGTGCATCCTTTTAACATGCCCACAAGCAGATTCAGCCCCTGATTGGTTTCGTGAAGCCCAGCTACACACACCAGGCTGGGTGCTGACTCGTCTCACCTGGCAGAGATAGACCTTGTGAAGGCACCAGTCCACACCCAAGGCCACGATGGTGACGTCGCTGTTTTGGCCCTCGAGGAACAACGTCCGGTAGATGTACTGCGACGTTGTCATCAGTTTCTTCCTGTTCGAGCGAGACACGCTCCCGATCAGGGCCGCCGTCGTACACCCGCCGTTCATGATATCCGACCGCATTCGTCGTCGTCGACGACGCGCTCGTTGCGAGACCGCGATTTCGAAAGCCGTGAACTACCAGAAGGCTGGCTCTTCGAGTTGGAAAGAAGAACCAACCCGTTCATGGGATATTTTTTTTTTTTCTTTCTTCTCTTTTCCTTTAAATTTGAAATTTGTGCCGAGGGAACAAAGCCTGCAAGTATCGGGTCACGCACCACTGGACCACGTACTTGCAACTTCGGTTTGTTGCTGCAATTTTTCTAGATATTTATACGTAAAGCGGAGCGCGTATGCGCAAGCTAATCCTCTCCCCTATATATTGAGGACAGTGAAAACACTTCCTGAACGCGTTGAGCGCGCGGGGAGCGGGACAAGCTTTTAAGTGGGTCGCATCCGCAGCACCGAAACGTCGAGCAGCGAGCGAACAATGGCAGTTCACTTTCTTAAGGCGGATCGCCCTTAAAACATTAAACAAATCCACACTCGATCAGAGTCACACCAGAGCACAGATTTTGAGCAAGAATCAACGGGCCAATTCGAATCATAATCAATAAGGAGGCACACCTCTACGTGAAATCGAAATTGCATCGGATCCTCGCCCGCCAACGATAGTCGTTGCAAAGGTGCCGATGAAGCGGGTTTATGAGAGGATCGAAATAAGCAGCGATAAAAGACAAATCACCGAACGTGCAGGCAGCAGGGCCCGCGCAGCCGGATGGACGGCAGAACGAGATGAAAAACCGCACCTTTTGGGGGCCGCGGCCCGCTGGGCGTCCTGTTCGTCGTCCTCGGTGTCGTCCGAACCGCGCTTTCTTTTGCCGAATGTCCTCGCTGTCCGCAGGGACGACGTTGGCAGCAAGTTTCCCATGCTTATCGGATTTCTCAGTTTCAGCTGTCCCGCTCGCTTCCGCCCGTTGTTGGGGTTCTTTCGTTGTTTTCTGTCACAGCAGCAAGCCAAGCGAAAAACAAGCCTGGCAAAGCCCCATCCGAATCCGCGCACGAACCACCCACCAGGTGGGGCGATGTCAACAAACATACAATAACGTACAAAGCATACAAACGTCGACTTTTTTTTTTTACCGAAAGTGAAACTGGCGAAACCGCGGCGAAATCGCGTTTTCCAAGCACTAAGATAGCACATAAAGAACAGCGACATAATTAAGCTTGGTCGCTTGATTTTATTCGGCCTAGTTGAGTGAAATGTTTCATTTGGTATCTTTGGTATGATGAAGGTAAGGAAGAAACATAAAAATAATAAAAAAGTAGGCAAAGATCAGAATCTATTTGTCAAATTATTTACAAAAATTAATATAGACAAAAAATGCCTCTTCTTACTCCTCTTTATCTTGCAAAAGCAAAAACACACCTACGCATCCTCGTGCCCATTCCGCGCTGGCCTGGCTGGCCTATCGTCATCGCTAGAAGTGACGACGACAACGGGAACGGCCGATTGCTTCTAAGTTGATTCTATTCCTATTTTTTTTCTTTTTCCTCTGGTTCAACAGTACAAACAGGTAACAACACCTGCTAGTAACGTATCGTAATCCTGTCATCTTGCTGAAGTTGGCAACATCCCCCCAGAGGATTGCTCCCCGTTATAGCCGTTGTCGGATCAAGAACGTGGTGCTAGCTTTCAAGGCAACGCGTGGTGGTTCATGGTCCCCCGTGAACCTTGGTGTTGGGCAACTGCTACCTACCTGCTGGATCCAAGCGGTTCGTTGGCCCGAGGAACAAAGGCTAGATCCACCCCGCTGTTGCCACCGGCACGTCGTTGCTGGGAGTCTCCGTGGAAACCGAGGGACGCTCTTCGGGTTATGAGCACATCCGACCGTCGGGATGTGGGACCAACAATACGACGACGAGCTTTCCGACGCGGGGAACAGCGACGAACCCGACAGCGATATAGAGGCACTTCTTTATTCTAAGGTCCACTACGAAGCCGAAGATTTAGGGGCGACGGAAGCGGCCCAAGCTCCGGCGCTTCTGACGGGAGACCTGGCGTCTGGTTTGGCGTCGGCGGTCGCTAAGGGCAAGGCTTCCTCGAAACGGCGAGAACGGGGTGATGCCGAGCGACTCAAGGTCCTCGAGGGCGCCTCGGCGGCCAAGCGGAAAAAGAAGAGGAAACTCGAGGTCATCGTGGAAGAAGACGGTGGCGACGGCTCCGCCGAAGATCGCGATGCGTCGTCGGTCGACGCGGTCGACACGATCGTGCTAAGCAGCGACGACGAGTTGATCGTGTTCAGCGAAGAGAGCAGCCAGGACATCTCCCTCAATGTGGAAGGGACGACCGAGACCAACAAAAGCCAAGGTAAGCGGAGTGCATTGCTTTCTAAGAAGGAATTCAGCGCAGAGCCTGTCATGCAAAGTTGGATGCGATTCCTAATACAGGTCCCGCATGCGATATTACACTGTCTATATGATGCATTGACGCCTTTTTGTGTGCCTTATAAGACCTCTTATGTTGTTCCACATTTTAAAAAAAAACAGTGTGTGGAAACGACCCCTGCAAGGCATCCTTTTTACAGTGTATGCTGCATCATCCGTCTGATGTGCCCAACACTGCCCAGCAGCATCATAACGAGACAAACTAGCGCACAATTTTTAGGCGTACAAATGCAAGCTTGTGTTCAATATACATCAAACTGCAGTGGCTTAATGCAGTCCACCGCCAACCCGACACATATGCTGGTTTAGTGTGAATGATGACCTCTTTCTATGCTACAATACATGAATTTCACATTCCCACTGGGAGTGGAAGTGTTGCTGGCATGCCTTGGCGACTGTCGTCTGTGTGGGAACGTTGTTGGGTCATCCTTGTACATTCCAATCGACAGGTGACCTGTGGCGCGTGGATGTCGAGGACCGTTACCGCATCAATCGGGGTTTCCGGTACCACAACCAATTCTCGGGCGTGCGCTGCCGCAATTGCAACGAGTCTGGGCATCTCTCCAAGTTCTGCCCCCAGCCTAAGGTGAATGGATATCCACTTGACTTAGCTGTTGAGGGGTCCATTTAGTATGATTGTCTTTAATTATGGCATACATCACAGTGCAAAGTATGTTGGCCATAGAGTTGTCTTGCTGGTCACGTCTGTTGTGGGATATTCACTGGACGCCATATTTGAATGCGCTCTTCACCGCGGATGCTCGGTTTGAACTCGCATTTATAGGCTGCTAAGATTGGCAAAAGAACCATACCCTGTTTCACATTAACTTGGCAAACTGTGGAGGCTATGCCCCTGCGACCCAATAAAAGCGTCTGAGCGAGGCATGGGACACTGCATCATGGGAGTGTGGGTGTCACTGCGCCAAATGTGAGCATGGAGGAACCTGCTGTCGTCTGCTGCAAATCCAGCCAACTTGGGATGAATGTTCACCGCGGCAACATTGCCGTCCGCTAGACTAGCGTGTCCTTGGGGAACAGGTCATAATACAACCATACGCTCAATTTACCCATGAATGTGTGACGGGTGCTAATGCCAGGGCTATGTTTTTTAAGTGGAAGCAGTCAATTACACGGCTGCGATCGCCAGCGGCCACAACGCTACAAGAATGAGAAGAAAAAAACGGGAGCGGATATAGATGTGGGGCGTCACTTTTTTGGTTTAAATATAATTGAAACTAATAAATTTCTGACTATTTAATCCTTATTTTTTACTTATTATCGATAAAGATGGAATGAACCGATGTCACCATGCAGTTTCGTTACGCCGCCACTGTCGCGATGCATTGAGGGAACGTTTGTATTTTTGCATGTGGGACAACCTCGCTAAAGCACTGCGCGTGCCGAGCACGACACAGCACCAAGCATCTCGAGAACTGCCGCCTGCCTCCTCTGAACTGAAGTTATGGCAGCATTACACATGTGGATGGCGCTGTTGCTGTGGCGGTAGCATGGCCTCGACCATGGAGCATTATCATGTGCCTCGCTCCGACGCTCTTATTGGGTCGCTGGGGCCACAGCCTTTACAGTTATCGTGAAACGAAGTATAGGGAAGCTCGCCTTCATAAAGAATCATGTCAGCAACGAAAACTGTCTAGACTTGTCGTCGTTGTTGCTCCATTCTCGCCCACGGTGTTTGCGCCAGAGCTTCCTTCACGAGGAAGTGCCACCCCCTTCGGACACGTCACCAACCAGTCTTTTGTCTGGCGCCAGGGGTAGGGTTTGTACAATAATCTAGAGGGAAACTTCCCAGGCATTTATCCGCTTTGGAACGGCGGGCCATAGACGCACACATCGCTGGCCCCATAGGCCCAGATTGCTGGTGACGCTTTAATATACACAAAGAAGTGAGAAGACATCTTCATAAGGTGTGTATTTAGTGTTTTTCTAGCTTTATTTTTGTAGAAGAACACTGGCGTCGCACATTCTATGGAAAAAAAGAAGTCTACAAGCGCAAAAACACCGTCTACTCGTCGCGGCCAAATGAATGTGCCCAACCTAACGTCTGCTTTCTTTGTCTGCTCTTCCGCCACTCTCATTCTCGTCCTTTCTCACGGGACTACCAGTGCCAGCGCTTACGATTTGCTGCGTTCTGCCCCTACCTTTGCCTTCGTGGCTCCAGGTGCAGGTGTGCCACCTGTGTGCCGAACCCGGTCACCAGGGGCACCGCTGCCCCCAGCGTATCTGCGCCCGCTGCTACGAGACTGGGCACGCCATGGTGGAGTGCCAGCAGAGCTACTGCGACTCCTGTGACATCTGCCAGGCCTGGGGTCACCCCAGCAGGGTAGGTACACCCAGCAGTTTTCCTGGACGCCCGGAAGGCCCACGTTGTTCGCCAGGCTCGTCAACCTGGCCGGAAGCCTGTTTTTGTTTGTATTCCTTTCAAAAGGCGACGGAGTTTGAATCTAGAAACTCGATTTTGAGGGGCGTAAGTTGAAAGGGCCATTTAAGCCTTTGTACAGACAAAACACTACATTACTCTAAGAGAGTGGGAAGAGCTTACAAAGGAACCTTCCAAAAGCCTCAATGTGGCTGCCATTGTTTCGATAAGAGTATAGTAACGAGTGTAATGTATGCTCGTTTTATCTTGCAAGCTTTCTCCTTTTGTTTCCTTCTAGCTCTCAGCCCCACAACCCCCTTTCTGAATGAAGTACATTTTTTTGCTGGTTGGATGGATGCTAACAGCTGTACCCATGATATTGGGCGGTAGCTTGCACCACCTGGCTTAGAAACTAAAAACCTTCGCCCTTCTAAGCCAATTTGCTTCCCCTCTGCACTTTTGTAACTATCACCAGGCGGTGTGGGATATCATCAGGATGACCCTTGGGGGGTCGGGCAAAAATGCTAGAAACATCACCTCCTGCCTCTTACCCCGGCGAGGGAGTCACCACTTTTCCTTTGTTCAAACCTAGTCGGCGTTACCTCAGCACCGGGCCCACTGGGAAATGGGGTTAAAACTTTGTGCGGAAGGAGTCCCAATTTTTCTTTGTCCCGCATGTCCCCAGCTGTGTTAGTTAGTTGTACATCATTCAATTCTCCCTAGAGTCTTTTATCTCCTCTGTGGAACTTGGCCAATGTTGCCCACCCATGAATATCTCTGACATTGTTGTTTGTTCTATGTGCTATTGGGTTAACCAACTGCCCCACTTCTATGCTCTCTCTGACATTAACTCAGCTGTTAACTGACTGCTCTTTCCAATTTTTTTTTTTCTAGCTCTGCCCTGATCTGTGGAGGAGATACCACCTTACAGTAAGTGTCTTATCCTATTTTGTTTCGTGCAAGATAGTTATTTGTAATCTTCATTTCTCCTTGTAGCCTGCACAACTGCCTCAAAAAATGCTTGTTTCATTGGTCTTTTAATTGTAATTTTTATTATCTTGTAGTGCTCTCGTTTTAAAATTGCAATGGCTGCTTCAGTATGTTTATAAAAAGTTTTGCTGAGATCAAAGTTGGATGCCTCCCGTGGTCCAATGTTTCATTGTTCATGTTTAAAAAGTAGAACTACTAACCCTCAAGTTTACATCAACAACACTGTCATTTGGAGACTATTGCAACTATTAAATGCGGTTTCTGTCATGCAGTAGCTACAGCACACCCCCAAAATACTAGCATTACAAGCAGCCTCTTGCCAAACACGA